TTAGTGCCACAGTTCTCCTCAGTCGGGACTATAGTTGAGGGACCGACCGACTTCTTCAACGCTAGATTAACCAAGAAGGAGAGGAAGCGCACTCTTCTCGAGGAAGTCCTAGAGACTGAAGACGCTACTCGGAGATTTAAGAGCAAGTATGGCCAGATCCAAGATGTAAAGACGAGTGGTAAGAAGGGTCACTACAAGAAGATGATGGAAAAGCGATATGGTCGCAAGAGCCGAGGGTGAATACTGGAGACGAGGGATCAGTATCCCTACTGCGCATAACATAGTATGCACACAAAGTGCTACGTATCCTAGATACACTTGAACATGTTCTGGTGTTATGGAAACGCAATAAGCGTCCATCATCAGCAGATTGGATCATGTTGTTCCTGTCTGCTGATGCGGCCTAGAAGAGGCGTACAAGTAAGTTACGATCTTATACAGTCGTGCTATATAACCCGTTTCTAACAATATTTTAGCAATCAGTAAGAATATAAAGACGTTCTCGCGAAATTAATCGCTTGTTACACGTCTTGACCTAGTAGTAGAACCATGTTGCTTCAAGCTAGGTTGACGTACTTAGGTATATTAGGTGGTCTGAAGGTTAGGTTATTTGAAATAAAGTCACCTCAAAATTCCGTCGAGGGGGTAAGAGGCCTTAGCTAGTACTTTAAGTAAGTTGGACAAATAAGAATCGATCAAACATCAACAATATTTCGGGTATCATACTAGTTTATATACCTACCAGATGATTAAGAGTTTCTTTGGAATCATGATTACTTTCGCAATATTGTCTATCTTTGTGCTTGCGTGCTATAAGCATGCTTAATATAGCTATTGCCGTTTTGAAAGACTAGTAAAATTCGAACATTTTAAAAGGCGAGGACCGCGCATGTTAAGGTTGAATGCTGGGCGCAGGAATTACGTATGTAGGTACCTAACCTAAGTACCGATGTAAGTACCTTATAACCCGAGCTTTATCCGGTGTTATTTCCCATTGAAGCTCCAGGTACCATCCTTAGCTCCCATCATCCACTTACTACCTCCCATGCTCTACATTTCTAAATTCATACGGAACGCATTTCGACTATTTGGCCTCAGTTGCTAAGATGATGAAATGAAATAATCATGGAGGCGATGCATCCGACCGCCGGGTGGGAGAAAGTGGGAGATAAGTTTTACCGCAAGACCCAGCTGTATACCGCGATATTCGACCAGGATCTTGACCTGGATAATTATATCGTTGCTGGTGCTCCATATGGCGGCGCTGTAGGTAAGCCGCTTTTTATATTATTACGTTTTATCTATGGCCCCAATTAAGACTTTGAAGGCCCTTAACTTGCACTTGTAATCTAACATGAGAGTTGGTTACTTCAATTGTATCGCCCTTCGGAGTTCAGGTGTATGGGGGATAGCTTATACACCGCATATAGCTCTCACGAAGCATCGAATCTCACTGACTTCGAATAGCAATATGTCGAGATGATACTAAAATCGTATCTTACCAGCCTTCCAAGTCATCAAAGCCCAGTATTGACATATACAGTTGCGCTGGTAAGCTATTGAAAAGCATTTCCTGGGATAAGGGTTCCATCAAAGGCCTTGGTTGGTCTGAAGACGAGAAACTTCTAGTCGTGAGCTACGATGGGACCGTGAGATGTTACTACAACCTGCAGGGAGATTTTACACAATTCTCCCTCGGTCGTGAAGCCGAAGATTTCGGTGTTCACTCATGCCGATTTTACGATCATGGTATGGTTGCCTTACTTACTAATAATATACTCATTTCTGTGTCCTCATACGATGAACCACGGCCAAAAGCCCTCGCATCGCCACCGGAAGGAGAGGTTTACGCCTGGGCCATCATATCCCCGAGTTTCACCCTGTCTAGGTCGGTAGAGGTACTCTTAAGCATCAACAAGACGGTCTATGTTGTGGATAAAACCGACTGTGAAGATCGATTCCTTGACATCGGCCCATTCTCACACATTGGCGTGTCTCCGAATGGGAAATTTGCAGCGCTCTATGCTACGGACGGGAAAGCTCATGTTATCACAGCTGACTTCCAGAGCCGGCTAAGTGAACACAATTCCGGGTCTCAGCTTACACCTAAATACTTAGAATGGTGTGGCAATGACGCCGTTGTCATTGCATGGGAAGATGAGGTGAACGTTGTAGGACCTAACAATGCCGTGGCAAGCTACGTCTATGAAGGTCGCGTCCACGTAATACCGGGTTAGTCGCAAACAATCCTCCTCTCCTACGGGTTGCTAATGTACGATAGATCACGATGGCGTACGGTTAATTACTAATGATGTCTGCGATTTCCTCCAAAAAGTACCAGATGTTACGGATGAAGTATTCCGCCTTGGTAGCGGGTCGCCTGCTTCCGTCTTACTCGATGCTGTAGAGCAGCTCGAGAATCAGTCACCAAAAGCTGACGATAACATCCAACTTATAAGACCAAATCTTGTTGAAGCAGTTGATACGTGCGTTGCTGCTGCTGGACATGAATTCAATGTCCACTGGCAGAAACAACTATTGAAAGCTGCCTCGTTCGGCAAGTCAGTACTAGATATATATAATAGTGACGACTTCGTTGACATGTGCGAGACATTACGAGTGATTAATGCCGTACGATATTACGAAGTCGGCCTACCCTTGTCCTACGAACAATATCAACGCCTTACACCCGAAGGATTAATCCAGAGGCTCATAAACCGCCATGAATATCTACTCGCTCTTCGAATTGCCGGGTACCTACGCTTGCCCACGGACCGCATATTTGTCCACTGGGCTTCCGCAAAAGTTCGAATCGGTACGGAAGATGAAGAGACCATCTGCCGAATGGTGGTAGAAAAGCTGTCAGGCAAGCCGGGCATTTCCTTCGAGGCCATCGCCCGCGCTGCTTACGACGAGGGCCGCGGCCGGCTGGCTACAGAGCTTCTGAATCATGAGCCTCGCGCGGGACGACAGGTCCCGCTCCTCCTGAGCATGGAGGAAGACGAAATCGCGCTTGACAAGGCGATCGAGAGCGGCGACTCTGACCTAATTCTATTTGTGCTACTCCAACTGAAGAAAAAGCTCCCACTAGCATCCTTCTTCCGCGTGATTAACGCACGACCGACTGCCACTGCCCTCGTTGAGTCTTCAGCAGCGCTAGAAGATGATAATGCGCTCCTTAAAGATCTTTATTATCAAGATGACCGCCGAGTAGATGGCGCAGGTGTGTTCGTCCGTGAAGCCTTGCGACAGCCTGATGCACGTACAGCAAGCGATAAGCTCGCCCTTGCCGCGAAGTTGTTATCTGATTCGAAGGAGAACCATTTCGAGTTGGTAGCTTTAAAGGAAGCAGCTCAGCTTTTGCGCATGCAGGAGGCTTTGGATCGGGACCTAACCGACACTTTTATCGGGTTAAGCGTCAACGAGACTCTATTCAAGCTGATTCGCTTGGGTTACCATAACAAGGCTAAGAAGGTCCAAAGCGAGTTCAAGGTTCCAGAGAGGGTGGCTTGGTGGGTCCGGTGAGTTGCTAAGACATGTTTATTATGTGTTTCTATACGAAAATAATATCTAATAATGCCCCCATTGTAGACTTCGAGCGCTCGTCGCGAAACGGGACTGGAACGAAATCGAGGACATTGCTAAGAGCAGAAAAAGCCCGATTGGTTGGGAGGTAAGCCCGTTTTCCCCTTGTTTCTCTACCTCTCCCTCCAAGTAATCCTATATTAATAGACCACCGCCCCCAGCCGTTCTTCAACCAGATCCTGCAAGCCGGAAACGCCCACCTCGCAGCCTCCTTCATCCCTAAGTGCACGAATCTAGAAGCGGGGGCCGCTATCACTATGTACGAGAAGTGCGGCCTGCGCGTTAAGGCCGCGGAGGAAGCCGTCAAGGCCAAAGATGCCGATGCGTGGGCTCGTTTGTTGGAAGCTGCCGGTAGAGACACGGCGGATGGGAGGGTTATCGAGAAGCTGGGGGCACAGGTGTTTAAGAAGTAAGCTGGGTAGATATATGTACTTTCTGATAGTAAAGGCCGGGCAGAGAATGTGGCAGTTATATCCCCCTGGTTATATTAATATAAGCACCGTTGATAATTAAACGTACTAGATGAGACTTTTATAATATGGCAAGCATAGGAGAGGTCATATTGTATGTACGAGCAGTCTATTAGAAAATCATTTTCGCATTCATTATCCCGACGTCTATGTGAACATTATCTTCTTCTCCTATCTGGCTACCTACTCGGAAGACCAGGGACGAAAAGGGAACGAGACTCAGCCTTACAAGCAAGACCACCCAGGGACAGATCCTTAGACCAGCATAAGCATAAGCCCCCCCCCCTTTCGTCCAACAGACGGCGAAAACAAGAAGAAGGAAAAAAACCAAATACAGAAGAGAAATAAGGAAGTGCCCTACCCGGCCCACAAACTCCTAACTGGACTTTTGTTTAGCATCCGGGGAAAAAAAAACGAACAGCAGGTTTCTCATGGCACGTCATGGCATTAAACATGGCGCAGCATAACACACAACGACTCCCATTTCCTTGATACCTGCTTCATTTTGCTTCACCTCCTCATCTCGCCATTCTGCTCATCGAGTCCCTTTTTTCCACCCTGGTCCCGACCTTTCTCGACGAATAAAACAGACATCGAAGACACCAGATAGATACCACACAACCACATGGAAAAGAATCCTAATGCCATCCCTTCCTTTCTATGTGGACATAGACCGTCCTCAGTAGGGACGAATTCCCGTAAACAATGACCCACAAACACGGAAAACCGACGAAGATGGAGGCAATGACAACTCAAAAACTTGTCTCTAGATACGCCGGCAAAGGCATGCATGTAGCAGCTGTACGGTGTGCTGTTCAGTCCTACCAACGATATCCCTTGTAGGAGGGGGTATTGGTATATACGGTGGGGTAGGTGGCAGACGCAGCAAGCAGATCAACCTCATAACGCGTACGTACGTAGTAGTGTAGTCGTCACAACAAGGAATATAAAGGGGGGTAGGTAACGGGAAAGAAAAAGGATCATAAGTTTTCTTCGTATTGCAAGTCCATAGTATTATGGTGTGCCAATGAACTCCCCTCCCCCCTCCCACGAGCCTGAGCATGGAAGATCTGAATTTTTGTACAGTGCTAGCTTCGCTTAAACACGTCGAGCATTACGGCCCTTTGCTTTTGGCACGGTCGTCCAGCCATCGGGGTCCGCAGCCGGGGCGGCTTCGGCTTCTGGACTAGGTGACGAAGGTTGAGTAGGCTGTTGGGGAGAGCGAGGTTCAGAATGACCATTCGCTCGACCACCTCTGCCCTCGTAGTTGCCTCGAGGTCCTCGTGGTGCACCACCGCGTCCTCGAGCATCGCCACGGCCTCGTGAGGCGTTGGCATACCCACCACGGCCTTGGCGCTGCTCTCCTGATGATGATGTTCTCCAGTTACCGCTCTCAGTTGCTCTGGACTTCGCGTTCTGGGCGCTGTCCCTGGATTTAACTGGTGCCTTCTGCTCTACAGCTTCGCCATCCTCAACACTTCCACTCTTCGGTTCCTCCTTCGTCTCAGTTACAACCTCGGCCTTCTCCTCGACCGGTTCAGCCTTCGCTTTCTCCGCTTTCTCCGCTTCGGCAGCGGCTTTCTCTGCAGCTTCCTTTGCGGCAGTCTCCTTAGCAAGACGTCGGTCTTCCTTTGCCTTATCATCCGCCTCTTTCTTTTCCTTCAGCTGTTGCTCTCGCTTCTCTGCGATCTCACGCTCTTTTGCCGCTGTATCAATAGGACGGGCGGCACCGAAGGGGCTCGCTTTAGACTCGCCAGTCGCAGATGGCAGTCCAGGAGATACCACATCTGGAGATTCGGATACGGTTCGCTTCTGAAGGTTGAGTCGGGGACGGCCTGCGGGAGCTGGGGTAGCAGCCGAACCAGCGACCGATCCACCAGCAGGCGATGAAGGCGCCTCAGATCCATCACGAGAGCGTTCAGGAGACTTCACCAGAGAGTCAGGCTTCATATTGCTGCGCCACTGGTTGTCGCGCTCCGCTGCCGTTGGAGTGCGCTCCGGACGCTCTGAGCGCTCGGGTCTATCTCTGAATTCTCTGGGAGGTCGAGAACCTTCCTGGCGACCTTCACCCCAGGTAGCTGGTGATGCCCTACGATCCTTTCGGAAGGTATCACCTCTGTTGGCATCATTAGTTCGGGGACGGCTGCTATCTCGCGATCCCTCAGGACGTTCAGGCTGAGGAAGTGGCGATAGGGGGCCCTTGCGCTCCCAGTTGCCGAAATCGCGAACCTTGCCGTCATCAGAAGGTGCATCTCGGAAAGCAGGTGTTCGGCGCTCCCCAAATTCGGCAGGACGTCGATCGTTACTACGAGATGGAAGGTCTGCTAGAGGGCCTTTTCGCTCCCAACTGCTAAGATCACGAGCGGACTCACCGCCGGCACCACGATTGTCTCGATCCTTGGCTAGAGAATTGTTAATAGTTATTCACTTAATACTAGTTATTGGTACTCGGACTTACGAGGATCGGCAATCTTAATCTTGATAGTACGGCCTTGGAAGCTAGTTCCATCAAGGGTCAAGGCCTTCTTCAGACCTTCGACGTTCGCAAACTCTGCATAAGCAAAGCCTTTTGGGCGTTGTTCAATTCGATCTTCGATGATTCGAACACTGGTGATTTCGCAGTCCTCAAAGAAGTCGGTGACAGACTCGTTCGTGGCTTCGTAAGATAGATTTCCTAGATGAGCGGTGTAAGGGGGTTTAGTTGGGAGCTGGGCCGGACCCTGGGTTGCGTAGGAATCGCGAGAGTAGCCTTAGGGAGTACAAGTTAACTATCGATTAAGCAGATAACAGTTAATCATCTCGACTTACCTCGATCATTGCCCGAGCCTCCGTAACTAGAATAGCCAGTTCGTCGTTCGGTGGAGGGCAAAGGCTGAGAGCCTAGGTTAGGGGATAAGAGGTTAGCAAAGTTAAGTCCATGTATAATAAAATCAAATCCCCATTAGGAAGTTAGGAATTATGACGTACCGAATGAGTCTTCAACTTCATCAGCCCATGATCCGCCGTATTCTATTTTATGTTAGCAAAGTCGCTCGTTCTCCTCGTCTCTCTGCTTTAATTATGGGATGCCTGAGTGTCTGTTTATGGAATGATGGCATTGTGGACGGTGGGAAGATAGGAAGATGGAACAGAAAGGAGACGGGAAGGGGAGGGCGAACTGACTCTCCTCCTGCAGAAAGGCCCCAAGGCTCATCTTCTGCTGCTGTTCCTTCTTCTTAGGCGCTGTAACACATCAATTGTTAGCATGTGATCTCTTGCGGCAGGGTGAGGATAATGAGCGATAACATACCCATGATTGCGGTGTTTTAGCCACGCGCAACGCTTGTCGAGGTCGTCGCGCGCAGAGGGGAGATGAATGGCCGAAGAAACTAGGCTTAGTTCTTCGGTTTAGTTGTTCAGTGATGAGAGAATATGGGTTAGAATATGGGTTAGACGGTAAGGCAGCAGTGATTTTTCACAGATGCCAGGCCGACAATACGATTGGGACGATACAAGTGGTAACCGAAAGTTTGCGGGATAGGCAAGGAGAACCGAAAAGTTTCCTTGACCAGAAAGAAAAAAAAATGGATGCTGTGAAAAAAAAGGCCGGGAGGGTTAGCTTAATTTTTTTCGCCAATGTATGAGAGATGGGGAGAATTAAGCCTGCAGTACAAGTTGACCAAGTACCAGCAATTTTTCAATTGTCATGGCGGGGTTCAGCTTTTAATAAAGTTAAACTTCACACATTTATTGTGCGTTTTTATGTGTGTTTGTATTGTTGTACCTTAGGAGGGGAAAGTTTTAATCCTAGGTACATAATTCTATAGCGTGCACTACCTTGTTTAGGTACATGTAGGCTGCCCGCTAGGTACATACTTACCTAAGCTGGACCTTAGGTATGTAAAGCTTGTACATACCTAGGTATCAAGACCTAGAGAGTTCGAGGGGCTCACCGATTCCCTTCCCAACTAGGTACATACCTAGGTACATGGAATAATTATTAAGATGCGGGCTGGACATGCTCGCGAGTGCCGCAGCTTTCCCTCAGCTTTCCCTTGTCGTTCATTGGCCAGCTTTTACTGGGCCATCGCTCAGGTACCTAGTCTCTAAGTACCTTAGTATCCTATCCTATTGATAGGTAGCACCTGGCGGATTGGCGGATTGAAGCGCAGGGATTTATTGCCGCCGATGGCTGTGATGGGTAGAATTCATATTTTGAACTGGCCTACAATACAATAATTCTCAACTCAGAAAACCTCCAATCAAACATGACTATTGATTGATTGATTGCATAGGTACCTAGTTATGCTTTAAACTTATGCTTTAGATACGAATACTTCTGCTCTTAATAGCAATAGTTATTCAAACGCTAAAGAAAACATCAGTGCCATCACGTCCGTTAGCACAATTAGTCTCTTTAGACTCGACCAACTGCCTTTACCTTAGGTAGTCTTATAATGAGACTGGCACAACGCCTCTAGTGCCAACCTTACTCTACTCTTTCGATATACCTACAACTATGGTTTCCTCACCGCAGCAACCGACGCCTCAGGGGCCCTCATCCTCAAATCCTAACCCTAACCCTGAGGCTATTAGTCCATATGATAGAGAGATGCCATCAGCAAATGATCTTATGGAAATTGCAAGCAAGTCATTGCAGACCGGAGTTATGGCTGGTAAAGTCATGCCTTAGCCAGCGGACTAATGGTATAGACCTACTAACTTGAGTTCATTCAGGCGGCGTTGGCTTGGTGATTGGGGCTGGTTCTGGTATTGTCCGATCAGCGCCACCAGCATTGTTCGCATTAGTTGCCGGTCTCCAATGGTTTGCTCTCGCGTCTACTTACACGGGTGAGGATTATCCTTCTTTGATCTTGTATTTCCAGCCGCTAATTAATATACAGCTTCAAGGGATCTCCTTTGGCATGCCTGGGGTGGTAAAGAAAACCTCACCACATCAGACCTAGTGAAGTCGAGCGGCGTAGCTGGCGGCGTGGCTGGGATGATCGGTGGCATGTTTCGTAAGTCTTTCCGATGTCCGTGCGTACTATATTCTGAATCTATGCTAATTACTATGTAGGGGGCCCTAAGAATATTATACCAGGTATTCTAGTTTTTGGCACTGCTGGAACTGCTGGTGCATACCTAGCCCAGCTCTTCAAGAGCCAGTCCAAGGATGATTCCAAGGCCAAGTCGGGCTGGCTTGATTCAAAATGGAGCCCTTTGAAACGATTATCAGACAAAGAGTATGAAGAAAAGCTCGAAGAAAAGATTCTCCGGATAAACGCCGAAATCTCTATCATTGATGATAATATTGCTGCTCTTCGAGCGTCAAGCGGCGCATCAACCAAGCCAGGCGAGGGAAGTAAAACAAATAATAACTCCTAAATTTTAGCCGGTATGCTGAGTTGTTTATTACAACTATTAGGATTTCCGTGCCAGCAACAGAAAAGCCTAGATAATGTTCTTTGATAGAAGGAACTAAACTCGGTCTATATTAGGTTCTGACGGGAGGAATTGGCACCAGAAATACCTAAGACAACCTAGTTGCGAGCACTTCATCAATCTCAGCCACCCATATGAGACATCATCATATAATATATATAGATATATATATACCCCCTGATACAATACTACAGCTCGAATCATCGCCGACTTTGCCGATAGTACTTCGCTTACTTAAAACGTGAGCTTTGCCAAGCCTTTAGTATTACAATGAGCATTAGCCGCCGTGTAGTAACACGTGCAACTCTTCAAGGATAGGATACTTACCTACCTAATCTAACCTAGACCGCGATTTCGAAGATCTTCATCACTATCATTGTTAGTCTTGATCGTACTGTGACACATTCAACGTAAGAAAGCTCGGTATGCCAACTATATCGAAAGATATAAGGCTATGTAGGTACAAAATGTAAATGCATGGATATGACCTCAGCATACGTCATTGCTTTTGTAGACAAACCATCCCCCACATATGATAATACAAATTAGATATACTCGCCTCAAGTTAGCTATCCGCATTCAACCCATTTACATTAACCCGGTTCTAACACTGTCTTACACGCCCGATATAGCTTCCTTTTTCTCAGACAACAGCCAAGATGACTGATTCGCGAGGAAGCCACTCGTCTACACTTGAGCAGACACCCCTTGACTCGAACCAACACGGTCAGGCGCAGTAAGTTGCCTCTCCTGTCTATTTCTGCATAGTTCAAACCTATAGTGAAATATATCCTAACTACCATTATACGATATACCGCTAACCTCCCCTGCAAACAGAAACATCATCGACGAGACCTCCGCGACATACGGCAGCACTACCCAGTCAGACCTCGGGGCCAACATAGAATCCCACGACGAGGCGCTCAAGGACAAGGTTGATGGCGCCGTGATGACCGGCCCGAAGAAAGCCGACGAAACTACCGGCGGTAGAGTGCAAGTCGGCGAGACGGGCGACTTACACGATCTTGCTGCAAAGAGGCAACCTTAGAAAAAAAATACTTATTCATTAACTGGCCTGGGTATGTGATAGGGGAACCTGTATGGCACTGGAGTTGGACGGTTTGATTATTTCGATACCGGAAAGAAGGTATAAGTACTTAAGGCATATCATAGGCACGGTATGTTTACTATTGCCCTTGGGAAACAACGTGGTGTTTACGCCTGGATAAATAGTACTCGGGACGCTCGGTCTATGTAGCTTCAAGCTTTAAGCAAGGCCCATGCACAAGAAAGTCCTAGCTACCTACTTAAGGAATACAATTTGATATTTTACTAGAAACTAGGCCCAATAAGTTGAACCTAATAGAAAAGACAAATTTTCTCTGCCCTCGCTAATATTCAATGGACAGTTCCCATGCTTACATTCTACATAAATGATCTGACTTCATGTGGCATCTTTGAATCAGCAAGCTAGTGTATGTCCCTTACTTGAAAAGGGGAAAGGAAAGAGCAGGAAAAAGCTAAAATATTGTAACACGTCTGTATAACGAAGATATGAAGTTCCTACCGAGTACTTGATATACGTATGAGCCTGGATATACTTAAGGGGGGTCAAGGACGTGAATTCTGTCGGAAGACTTACCCCAAGACCGACCTGATACGTCCATATATGAAGGAATACATGTATACCCGCGGATAAGATGTAGACCTAATATAAATATCTCCCGAGTAATGCGTATAGTTATTCTATCACGATCTATGTCTAAGCTGGTGATTTAATAGGTCTTGCCGGGCCCATATCCGATTCCTTCATGCAAACCCTTCCCTGCAAATATAAAACCAACTATAGGTAGGTATCATCGATATATATTACCGAGGGTAACAGTAGGTAACTTCGACATCGGCCACGGCCATTTTATACCTGTTATCTTTCCAGCGTAAAGGTATACATATACCTCGGCTACTCGCGGTAACGATTCTATTTGCCAGCTATCACGTCTTCGATACGCAATCTGACAAAGCCAGTTACCGGTGGGCAACTGTAGTCACCTCAAATAAAAAAAAAAAAGTCGAGACACGTCATAATATTCGATGAATAGTTAAGAGAGCTAAAACAACCGTAATAACCCTGAACATACTCCAAATTACCAGAGGTATCGAGGTCCATTAACAGACGCATACACGCACAAACGACCGAAATGAGAATATCCGGACCCCAGCCCCCGCAGCTTTCTCTGCTGGGTACCTAGGTATCCCCTTTGACCCACCACTCTTAAACCTTAGTCCTTCTTGATAACCGCGTCGAAGATCTCCTTCATCTTCTTAGCGCTATACTTCTCCTTCCGTTGCTGGCCGTCGGCGTAGTTGACGTAGGTGACGCCGAACCGGGTCTCGTAACCCTCGGCCCACTCGAAGTTGTCCATCAACGACCACGCCATGTATCCCTTGACGTTGACGCCGTCTTCGCTAGATGCCTTGGCCATCGCGTTGATGTAGTCCCGGAAGTACTCGTATCGGAACGTGTCGTTAAGGATCTCGGGCTCCTCTAAGTCGTTCTCACCCTTGATGCTTGTTCCGTTCTCCGTTACGTAGATCGGCGGGTAGTTGTACCGTTTGCTGAGCCAGTTGAGTAGGCCTCGGAACCCTTCCGGGTTGGGGCGTAGCCAGAATGATTGCGTCTCGGGGCCGATGCACTCGCCGTTCTTGCTGTAGGGGTGAGTTGATAGGTCGCCCAGGAAATCCTCCGGGGCCGGGTTGCCGTCGCCGTGCTTGACATAGTCGGCAGTGTAGTGGTTCATGCCGTAGAAATCGTTAGAGCCCTTAACTAGAGCTAGCTCTTCAGGTGTGAACTCCGGCAGTCGGTCACCGAGTTGCTTTCGCATAGAGTCGGGGTACTTGCCCAAGTAGATGGGGTCAGCAAACCACGAGATGGCAAACTCAATCTTTCGGTTGGCAGCTTCGACATCTCTCGGGTCCTCGGGGTCCCACGGGTATGTATAATCACCGTTCAGAGTGATACCAATCTGTCCCTTGTCCTTAGGCTTGAATTCTTCGCGGTATACCTTAACAGCTCTGCCGTGAGCAAGGAGTAAGTTGTGGCCGACGATCCAAGGCTCTCGGCTGGAATCACCGACAGCGGACTTGGCTCGGTTAGATGTGTGACCAGGGGCGAAGAACCCTGTACTGTATCCTAGGATAGAACTGCACCAAGGTTCGTTGAATGTGATCCAGTTTTTGCATTTAGGAATTGACTTGAAAACGATGCGGGCGTAGTGCTCAAAGTCGAGTGGGAACTCTTTCCTATTCAGAAGTCCGCCATATCGTTTGTCAAGCGCATCTGGGACATCCCAGTGTAGTAATGTTATGAAAGGAACAATACCAGCTTCAAGTAGGTCGTCGACGAACTTGACGTAGTGGTCAATACCAGCCTGGTTAACGGGATCATTCCGACCACCGAGAGGGATAATTCTTGCCCACGACAGAGAGAAGCGGTAGGCAGTAGCACCCAGCCTCTTCAGGAGGGCGATATCTTCGGCAGTTCTGTTGTATGAATCGCAGGCGACGGACCCGTCAGTTCCATCTGCAATCTTCCCCGGAATAGCACAAAAAGTATCCCAGATAGTTGCGCCACGGCCATCTTGTTGGGTTGCGCCTTCGACCTGGTAGCTATGTGCGGAGAAAGTCTGAAGTCAGCGGCGAAATTCTTTTAGTGTGTGGGTAGGGCTGCTATATCTAATAGAGACAAGGAGCTCGGTGGATAGTACTCACGCAGCTGTAGCGAAGCCCCAGAGGAAATCCGAGGGCAACGACATATTGAACAAGCGCTCTGAATTCTCAAAGGCGATAAATGGATATCTAGGATATTCGAGATTGCCCACTAGCGTTTCGATTTCGTCCGGGAAAATGGATATTTACTCTGATGCCCAGCCAATACTTCAGACGATCTCACGAAGGGTATATAGAGAGCAGAAGATGATGATGACTGTTGAGTCGAATCAAGCCGAGCAGAACGACTGCTCGACGTTGGAATGGAGGCTAGCATCTTCTTTATATATACCCTTGTGAGGTTTTAGGCTTTCAGAGGCGAGCTCGTCTGCTTTTCGATGTATAGTGTAGGGCCGGCACTTTCCCCTTTTCTCCCGTATCGGACCGTGACGACCGAGAACAACAGGCTTGTACGATGATGGCTGTATCTCCAAACCATTCATACCCATTCTAGCCATCCATACCCACATAGGCCATAGCAACCATCTCCGCCGCGGGGTAATTGGAGCTTGTAAGCACACAGGCAGAGAGACAGGGGCCAGTTTTTGATTTGGGATGTCCCCCCACAAACGAACTCGTCATGTGCCGGAATCATATTAGATCCCAGCGACGGCCCGTGTCTCCGGCCACCGAAAGGCACATGTCTATCCAAGTCTCGAGTCTTGGCCCTTTATGCAGCCAGGGGTTCGTAGAAACTTCGGCGGTACAGCCGAGTGGGTAGACACGATAGTCCCCATCCTTCGAACAGCGGTGTTCCTTGGATTCGGGATAGTCACGAATTGATGAGTGGCGGCGCTAACGATTCAAAAGATCGATCTTGGCCACCCGCCTTGCCTGCTCCGTTGGAATGCGGCGCAACATCCCTTCACATGGAAGGGTCATAAACACTTGCTTAAACATTAGACCCTGGAAATGGCTTTAACGTCAAATTCAGCTTGGGAGCCGGTTGGTTTATGCCGAGTCCCGGAGATCAATGTCGTCGTACATACATAATGACTTCTCTTATACGTTGTTTTGCGGAATCTTTTTCCTATGTCCATTCACCGACTACCATCTCGGTCGCTGCAGAAAGATCTCGGCGATAACTACTCGATGATTTAAAAATCACCTGTTTCGGGCTTACCCAGTTTTCCTGACCGAGTCGATTCCCTATTCGATACAGCTTTATTCTTTCAGACGGAATCTCGGATCTCATTGACAGATCACTAATGTGTATCCTTGCATATAATGAGGGCTTCAACATAAGATTTACGTATCTAGTCGCCGCGCTGCAGGAATAAAAGGCACTGCCTGTCGCTAACTGGAGAACCCAGGAGGAAGTGAGCATGTTTCCGACGGATGCAGTACTTATCCTATTTCGAACCGATCTTTCTTTCTCGCTAATGCTTTATAGTTGTATCGTCCGGTAGCGGGTAGATTCGATCGGCCGCATGTACGGCGACCGAGCGATCAAAGTGATGCCCTAGGCAGCAGTATTCCCGCCCTCTCCATCATCAACCTCTCCGCGTTTTCTCTTACTCGTCGTAGGCAATTCATAGAATAGTACCGTCTGCCCTGTTTCGTCCCCTGCCGCATCATCTCCCGTCCATTCTGTGATTTCGTACTCGACTCGAGCCTTGCCGTCTCGACCTTTCCTAACACCTTTTGTAGTATATATGTTGCCTAGACGACTCCCTAAAATCATGCTTTCAAACCATGGAATACCAGCTACGTCCCGTCCGATCAATTGCGAATCTTGGCTGGATGCTTGAGTAGGTACAATATCCATAAGGTCCAATTCGGATTCGTCGGGAATCAGGCCTAGATCCTCCAGGTCACGAAGATCCTCGGTTAAGAGGCTACCCAGCGTCAATTGAATATAGTCGGCTTCACTCCTGGGTTCTTCGGACCAATACGACAAGGGAGTCCCGCAGAACCCGCAGAATTGTCGCATAGCATTTTGTTCGGCGGGGTGGGAATAGGCACGTTTAATATTAGTCCGAGACTCGTCGGGGAAGAATGGAAACATTTGGCTATGGTACCATGAAAGCGGAACTCTAAGGAAGGCCGAGAGAGGCGTCGCTGATGAGATTCCTATCCATATGCTGCGTTAGCTCCGCGTGTATATTGCAACTAGCTAACCTAGACGAAAGAACAATAGGGTTCATCAAATTTCTACTTACTGTGGCCTATGGTCGAATCAAAGAGGACCTGAGCTCCTCCCGATGAGCCCCCGGGTATTAGGATCGTATACTGATTCCTGCCGCAATCGCAACTTCCTCGTAAAGTTCTATCGGAGTTCATCATGTATCGTTCTCAATGATTTAAATTTGAGGGACGAAATTGAGTGAAGATCAATGAAACTTATTGCCAAATGAATAAAATTGCAGAGACGAGACAGAGATGGTATTGTTATGAATTAACTAGTTAGTATAAATCTTAATATGTATATTTAGGTATGTAGAAGTTGGAATCGTCTGGAATGAACGAAACTGTTCCGATTCGATAATCTCGTGTTTTAAGAATTACCTATAGGTGATGATGATTCCAGAATGTTTCGAAACATTCAATTAAAGCGCGTCATAAAGTGGGCTGATAACGTTGGCCCCACGTATAATGAGGTGACTGCTTGGTCGACACTTGCTCGTTCCATCTGATAATTCGTTATTGCAATTAGCCAGATACACTAGACTGTAAACTTTATGTAATATAAAAGGTAGTTACGTCATTAAACGCAAACATAGGACACTTATCGAAATAATAAAGAACTCATAATAAATATCACTAGTCCTAGTCTCAACAAATATCCGAAGTTATATTCTCATGAAACGGCTTTCTCTAGAACGCCACGATTTCCATTCCCCGCATCCCGGAGATTGTCGTCCAGCTCATCGGCAGCTTGATTTTCCTCCTGGGTCGTAGCGGACTCAGCATCTAGGAGACCCTTATCGGATCGATGTAGCCACCACTTGAAGAATATGGTGAAGAATTGTGCTATAAATACCTGTTCCACCGTATATAAGAGTACCGGGACTTGGATAGACGAGATGGTAAAATTGTCGAGCTGAGACCACATGGCAGCAGCTAACGGGATCCCTACGCTCGTAGTCTTTGCAGCTCCGCAGAAGCAGACAGCAACAACAAGTTCTTTGGGCATCTTTTTAACCGTCACAACCTTCCGAATTATCCCAGGTAGACGAGAGCCCAGTCGTGAGTCAGCAACATAACCATTGATTACCTTAGTAAGGACCTCCGGTGGCGATGCTACCCAGTAGCAAATAGCAGTAAACAATATATATTCTGCTATGTTTATAAAAACATTGAATATTATAGACGATTTGGGTAAAGCAGTGAGTGCCCCTGTCTGGAACGCCCCTGAAAAAGTCGACCTAACAGCATATGTCAGTTTACGTCGAATCCTACACAATCTTCTCTGTTCCTCTAAGGAGGTTGGCCTACTTACCAAGCTACTAGCATAAGCAACACGGAGCAGAATTGTGCTAGGTAAAATGTACTCAATGTCCAAGACACCTGCTTCGGAAACGTCCATCTTAGACCCTGACCGACGACGAGCGGAAGGAGAACGCTGAGCCCTAATTGCTTCATGACGTTGGCATACATTGGCCCTAAGGTATCTGCTTTCGCCGGTTTGAGTGAGTCGAACTCGCCTCCGCTAGGAAGAAATCCATATATTAGCCAGGGCGAGAGAAAGGATCCGACAACATTCCCAATCACCACTTCGATAATAGCGGCGGCTTCATCACCGCCCGCATTTCTCGTCATTACTACATTAGATGCGATAGTGGTCGGGATGCAGCTAACTACGACCATTCCAACGAGAATGCTAGCATCAATCGTCCCCGAGCTCACTCCTCCGGCAACTATTATGATATGGATTATGACTAGGACAGATCAGCAAAAACGACACAACATGGGAACGCAAGTAGAATTCCGTACCAAGTTGAATAACGGGTATGAGAACAAGATTTATTCCTTGCACTACAATGTGCAGACGCCAGTTCATTACATGCTCCTTGAGTTTTGCTGGGCTAAGCTGCATCCCGTTGATGAAAAAGATCAAAGCAATGCCCCCATATAGGATAGAGTATTCTGAACGAATGATACCACCACGGGCCGCAACATCTGAAGGGTAGATCAGCAACCGAGTGCAATACTAAGATATCCAAGTCTCTGCTAACATACGAGGAAAGAAATATCCCAAAATACAAGCAAGACCAAATCCCAACACTAGCCAATTGCTCCAGATGAACCCTAGAACTCGCTTGACCGCCTGAATAAACTTTGGGCGTTCTTTCGTAACGGCGCTCTCATGAGCTCTAGGAAGCTCGCTCATTATTTCCGGTCCGCTCTCACTTGAGTATCATAACCACTGATCTTAAGTAGCGACCGGGTTGGTACCTGGCTTGAGTGGTGATCGCGAATACTTAGATGACGATCAAATCCAACAAAATAAAAATTTGGCATTTCATGATGGCCCAAAGAGGTTATTGAGAAGGTTACGATGGATACGACTTAGAGCACGCAACAGCTCCTATCATCGGAAGGACGCCGAAGTTAATCCCATTAGGCTAACCCCTATCCCCGATTCCGACATCGAGAAAGGATCCACTCGCAAAACCACATGGCGTTCCCATTTCCTTTTCGTGAGACGTGACGATGGCGATCTTACTACCGTGTACTGCGTCGAAAACTCAAACATTGAAATAGAGAAGATAAACTTACGTCATATAAGATCAATATATAGCAATGATCCAAGGGATAGGGGAAAGTTTATATTTTGTCTCGAGACCCTTTCACTTCTAGATCATTTTTCTATCTTCTACCGGCCCGTCGCTTTCGTCCCGTCGTCTTTTCTTTCGCTACTTCCATCCATCTACTAGTTACCCTATACATAGGTAGTTACATATGTCTCAAATCTTCTGCAAGGAAGAATTCGGAGGATGGTCCCTGACACGCGGGTTTCATCAGTGAAGATCGACAAGGCCTGGACTTCCGAGACCTTGATCCGGAACAGCGCCCGTTCAATCTGAGCCGTTTGTTTGAGGTAGGTAATTATTAGTTAAGGCTTTTAAAGGTCCGTCTATGCAAATTTCTCCGCCGGCTGACTCCTGATTTAGAGAAAGCTCTTCCCCGTTCCGCGCCCATTTTCCGAAGGTATCATTTTTCTCCTTGCGGCTTTGATTCGGAGCCAATACTTCAACGGTCTCTTTTCCTCTTTTGGACACCATTCATACGAATTATCCTAGCTTTCCCCTATATTCTACGCCACAATACACGCCGACTATGTCAACACATTCTACATGTTACGCGATATCAGCGCTTGGATTAATTCTAACTGGACAACTTCAACCTCGCCGGATTATGACTTCCTAGTTTGGTACCTAGTCTATCTGAAGTGAATATCGATGTCGTTGCATTACATTCACCGTATTCACCGACCCATGGGAAATGTCTCCAATTCTGCCATGCGGTCCCATACGCTTGGGTATAACTTGCAGGTCTGGTTAACCGCGCCGGTTCTCTTAGGAACTCGGGTCCGCCGCGGAACACCCAACGTTGTATTCCAGCATTCGAACGACAGCTCTTCGTCATCGTCGCTGCGACCTTCCAGGGGGCGAAACGTACCATAAAATTATTTACTTTGTCATTTACCAGAAATAGTGATTCGCTTATCGGAAAGAGTGGGTGAAATAAATAAACGAACTTCTATTGCTTACCTCATTTAGTATCGAGTACTTAGAACACATGCGTAAGTCGTTCCCATAATTCGGCAAGATACCTATCAAACGACTATGAGACTTGAGTATCGGTTGCCTGTTAGATGGATAGACCAGAGTTTTTCACCAAGTAGATCCGCTCCATCGTCCCGAGCCTCCTAAATACTGAGTACTGAGACAGAGTCACATTTTGACCAACCTTGGCATTGATACAAGAACCCCTAACCCCACCTGAGAACACTATATACGCTTTCGTTACAAGGCTGTGGGGTAGGTAGGTGAATATATGCATGCTCAAACCCTTTGCTCTTTATATAACTTACTGGCCCATGAAAAAACGATATCATAAATCGAGAGCATTTAGAATATATAACTACCTATATGTCGTACAATGTACCGTCTGATTTTACGGCCCATTAGGTACTGTTGTAGCTGTATAAGTCACACATTCGCTACACGCCCATTGTTGGAAAAAAAAACATATTGCAAGTAACCATAATGTCAAGTAAGCCGTTAAAGGGGAAATGCAGGTTTTAGCATTGGAACTCTCCGTCAACCCAGTACCTCAAACCCCACGCGTTTTGAGTAGCACCCATGTCTAGTATAGATATAACAATAGCTACGCATAAGCAATCCTGGGTGTAATATGCCGGCCTATCGAGGTAGTGCTGATGAAATGGACATACAGCAAGGTGCCGAATGAATGAGAATAGCAGTATGCCCAAAAGCAAGAAGGTAATATACGCGCGCTTATTAAATACCTAGGAGATTAAGCATAGTCCCTTTCTAACTTTAGCAGCGGAGGTTCTGTACTGTTTGCCAAGAGATATATACTACCTACCAGTATCATTCCAAAATGAGCTCCCGGTAACCGGAACCGGTTGGATGCCAATCGCGGATTTGAGCGAGCCATCTAGCTCAGAGCATCTACTATCGTTTAGATGACGAAGATATACCAATATCTCGTTCCGCTAGGATCACGGGAGCAATATAGTGGAAATCTAGCAATTTAAATCTAGCGAAGTACGGGCTTGAGCGAGCTATGGAATCTTCGAAGGCCGTCTACATGCTTAATTACTTCACCCGCCAGCGTCGCGTAACTCACGAGGGACGTTACAAGGAACGTTAGAGCAGATCGCGAACCAATACCTCGACTTGTGACTACATAAAGTGCATGTATATCAAGCCATTTTCGTATATCTATTCCCTATAATGGATACCGGAGCATTCTGGTTCTCATATTATTGATATGACGACGACATACATGCTTGCTTGCGGCTATTCCGAGCGGAAAGGCCCGTTCCGAGGATATCTGTCGTATAGTTTCAACCATGCACTTCGTCGATAAAGTGGTTATTAATACTATAAACTCCAGGGGTTCGATATTCCCATTCACCCCTGAAAGTTTTGCTGCGGCTAGGTTATGAGCCGGTGTAGAGTTTAACACCGGAAGCGTAGCCGAACCGAACTTGAACGTGTTGGTTCCCGAAGGATGCCATTCGGTTAGGAGAGGAACTCGGTGAGATTATAAATAAGAGTGAAAGGTGTAACTTGCAAATATTGGAAATGCATGACTTGCTCGGAGAGGTGTTGCTTGGGTAAGACTTAGATAATTCGTCAGTCTTATAAGGACTAACGTTATCTATGGGTTCGTAATTCCTTTTTAGCAGATGCCAAACGTATCGTAGTAGTTTAATATTAGTACATTAGTACATGTGGAGTAGAGAGATTCAAATATCAAAGATTTGTGTACCTATTATCATAGCCCCTATCCGCCTCCCGGCCCTGAACCAACAACGCGCCTTTTTATATAGCTTCCGATGGCCCCCTTTTACTCCCGGGAAAAGTCGCATACCTACCTTTACCTATACTTAACGCCCAATACCTTGGTATATCTAAGAATGATATGAAGAAGAGATGGGGTAATCAAGTCCCTATTTATTCATTGTATTTGTTAAAAGGGACACTCGCATACCAGGTAGGTACCTAATTCAAATAGTGATATCGTAGTTTCAACACGCGTGTAATAATAATAAAAATGTTTAACAATATTCTATTTGGTTGCCTCGTGTAATTATAATGCGTTAGAGTCCTCGTTGTCGTGCACTTTAGATAAAAGGGAAAGCTTGTTTTTTAATACAGCCTACCCGCGACCCGAAAGGCCTCACACCCAAGTCTGATGATAATTGTGTTATTCTAAGGGATATAATAACTGTTCTTCCATCGTAGCGAATTCAGTGGTACGTACGATACCGGTGGACCAATCCGCATTTTCAGTTGTAGGGGCACGATGGGGGACTGGTGCCTCCTGGGAGCTACTCAGTGGACCAAGGCGATGCTCGTCTACTTTCCTGTTGGATCTAGTATTTCGTGAAGTGCTGCTCGAACGAGGTCACGAATTACTTTTCCCTGTTCCTTTGGTATCTGCTGAAGATGAAGCCCATGGTCTGGAAATCCAACACATATCCATCGATTTTACGCCACTAGTTGCTTTAGGCATCGAAGGGAGGCAGACAACAAAGAACATGAGGGTCATTTCGCCCTCAGCCCATAGAAACATTGCTGATCCATCATAGACTATATCGAACGAGTTAAGGTAAGTCGCAGAGCTGGTAATTCGAAAGCCAGCAGATACAACACAACTTATATTAACACAATTAGGGTATAATACGTCTTTAGGGAGATATTCTGAACTGACAATATACCCGTCGCAAATGTAAGAGAAACAGCCAATTTTCTCCTCGGTGGCATTTTCAAATTCCAAAAAACACATTGAGGAGCAAGAAGGATTATGAAGTCAGATATCAAGTTAAGGATACCGGTAGAAAGTGTCTAGGCACCAACCCCCTTCTATAGTCTTGTCCCATATTTTCTGATGAGGGAAACATGCGAGATTGAAAGCAATAAGGCAAGTGAAATAAAAGAGTAGGTTGAGCCACAGTAGTAACGAGGCGGAGCAAGTAGCATGGAAACAACCTCGTTGTTCAATAAGGAACTCCCACCCTTACTGTGATTATACGTGCCCACCCAAGTGGGTAAGTACTGAAAACACCCTTTGTTCTAGATGTCTCACCTAGAATCCTAACAGGGTAGCAAGTTTGCAGAAGGACGACATCTCCCCCCGAATCCTTAGAATTTGTTAAGAGTCACCATTATACCTATATGCCAAAACTTAGGTCCTTATTATCTTATTATGTGCCTCTTCATCCAATGGGGGTTGTCCAACAAGGTAGGGTAGCACTTTGCTATAAGCTCAGCATGTATATACAAGCATAAAAGCCAACTTGGAAAGGGGTACTAACACAATGATGAATATCATATCTGGCTAGATTTCATCCCTCAAGTATCTTTGAATTCATTTCATCACATTAAAAAAACAGTACTACTAAACACGAGTTAAAATGGCCACTGTAGAATCTATGCCCATGACCGATGAGAGGAAGTTAAGTCTTCTAATTAATCCCCTATTAGATAGAGTGAAATAGATTACCTCGGCTGCTAGGTAGAAGCAGGCTGAAGACACGCACACTCATGTATGCAGAACTTGCTTTTTCAGCTCCACTTCGATGAACTAGAAAATGCCGCATAGTTTTCTTCCGATCGTCGGGTGTAAGCATTTAAGGGGCCATGGCAACTTGATACCGATCTATGTTTTCTAAGGCATTCCTGGAACCCAAATACAGAAAATATCGATTTTGAACCAGCCAAGGACTTAGAGCTTATGGAGTAATCTTCTACGATCTAGATCACTGAGGCCAAGGATGAAGACTAAGAAAAGAGCTACTTAAATTGTATCATTCCTACCCGCAGACCTCGGAAGGTTGCTCAAAGACGGTATTTGTTGAGCTTGTAGAGAAATACAGCATCTCGTTTATTTCGTGCTAGCCTCCTGCAGCCATGAATGCATACCTACCTAACTTACCTAAGGTAAGCATCGTCGACGTTACCTTACGCAGTTTCTGCCGCCACTAGGTAGGCTGTGCAAATACGAAGACATTTTGACCGGAAGTCATAATCACTTAAACAAGTAAGTAGAACCGCTCCTGTTGCCTAAAATGGATTATCGAAGTATAGTTCCCGCATGATAATGCAAAGCCAAGCCGGAGAAAGGCTTGCAAACTTGCTTAAGAAGTGCACTTTCTCTTGTTCATGACGTGTGCTCCATGCAGGCTCTTCGTTAGCTATTGTATATGATCTTATGGCAATGGTACACCGCTTTTTCTAACGGCATATCGAATTTCCTAGGATTGGGGTGGCGTTTGAGGCTGAATCTCATCATCTTCATCCTCTTCATTTTACAGCTTTAAGAACACTAGTATATCCAGAGGAACCCTAAGTTCAAGCAAAGTTTAGCACAGATCAGTCTATCGACACATTTATTCACTACATTACTTCAAGTCACACCCAAAGGCACTTGCTATCTTCATATCGTTCACTAGGTATAACCAAAGGTTATGTGATGAGACAGAAAGATGAAGTCCAAAACTAAGCCCACGTCACGCAAAAAGTACCCAGCCATTACAGCCTTAAGGCGCAAGGTTAACACTGCGATGGTGTTTAATCACGAGAAATCCAAATTTCTGCCTTATGATCAACTTGCTAAACTTGTTACGCCAAGCGCCGTAACCGATGTTCTCAAAGACGCAGGTGTATCATGTGCCGAGAGTCTCACAGAGTTTGTTCTAAATGGAAACGCAAGAAGACTTTTCCTGATTCTAGTACTTATGTCGAGGAAGAAAATGAAATTTTCGATGCTCACTTGCTTCAAGCAAAGCAAGATCACTGATGCGTCCTTACCGATCAAGTTTGACTACGACGACGACAGCGATGATGGCGATGGAAACGATGACAACGGTGATAACGATGGTGACGATAGCAACTATGATAACGATGACACCGATGGCACTGATAACACCGATGGTATTGATGGCACCGATAGCACCCTACATTGTTCACACTGGACCTCCCTTGAGACTGGTCGTACCGGAGACCTTTTCGGCGTTTGTGATCCAGATGACTTGCTCCTAGTTGAATACAATCAATGGGAATTATTGGCACCAGTATTCAGTCTTGATCCTTTCCGTATCGAGCTCAACAAGAAGCGGGTATTGCCATATTTGCAAGCTGAACCGAAGCCTGCTAGTAGTGGATTCTTTGGTGAAGTATCGCAGATAAAAGTTCACCCAGCACATATCCCCTCTCTGATAAATCCCGTGAGTCTCTTTTAACCTCATCAGTATTATCAACTTCTACTAAATTCCAACAGGATACACCTGAGACAGCGATATCAATCGCTATAAAAAAGGCCAAGCATGGCGATGAGCTTGCAAAGTTTTTTGACAAGGAGGCGAGCAATCTCTACAAGATCCAACAATACAAATCACCACATTTAATTTCACCAATTGCTGCATACCGAATCGGTGAGGACCGGTGTCTCGTTTTCCGATGGGCAGACGGCGGTAACCTGTTAAATTATTGGGAAAAGTCCTCGAATCAGAACCTAGATCGTGACAGCTTACACTGGCTTCTTAGCCAAGTTAAGGGGATCTGCTCGGCCCTCCGTGACTTACACGAGGAGAATACCAGGCATGGAGACTTGAAGCCTGAGAATATTCTCTGGTTCAAGAACAGCATGGGTCGTGGGATTTTGCAAATCGCCGACTTGGGGCTTGCTGCGTTCCACGAGAAAGAAGCAGATACCCAGAATCGTAAAGGGATAGGAACTTCCACACCCTCAGGAACATCAAGATATGAGCCGCCAGAGATGGACGAAAAGCGAAACAAAGATGATCCTCGGTCTCGGCAATACGACATATGGTCAATAGGCTGCGTCTTGCTTGAACTATTACTATGGCTCATGTACGGCTACGGAAGCCTAGGCATATTTACTAACGAAACTCCTCATTTTTGGTACACATCAACTAAAAGGGTTTATATTGTCCATCCTTACGTTGAATCATGCATGAAAGTTATGATGGAGGACCTCAAAGGTAAGATGAACGTGAAGGTGTATATTGATCTTCTCGATCTAGTCCGGGACAGGCTTCTGGTCGTCGCGGTTTCAGATTCTTATCAGAGTTCACCAACGCATCGAGAGACGGCCAATAATCTATGCGAGAGAATGGAGCGTATTGCCAAAGAAAGTACTGATCATTTCGCTGTTATTAAATTGGAATACCCGGCCGATAGAATCTCGAAGCAGACATTTTACAAGATCGACGGCAGTCTAGCACTGCCCCAACGCGGAGATGTCCATAGGCTTCCTCCTATTCCATCCGCTGATCCTGCATCGGGTGCTCCTAGTATCGGCGGGAATGGAATCCCTATCCGCCTTCATGCACCAACGGGAGAGGGCAATTTGAGCTCTGAGAGCACAGATGCATTGGGGAAAACGGTTCAATCAATTCATCAGGAAGTGAGTTAGCGTGGTACTCGAAGAGAATAAGATCAAAAGCTAAATCTGAATTTTGGCTTAGTACGTAAGTAAAGCTGTTCCTGGCCATGATAAGACTGGGTACCTACCTGATAACTATTACCTACCTAACTATGTTACTTACCTGTTTATAGAATGTCAGTGCATTACCAACCCTTTTTACCCTACTTCACACTGTTCATATGTTAGGTAGCTAAAAAGGAGTTTATTCTAGTTGGTGAGGATGTAAAGTGATGCAGTGATAAGGAAGATACAGTACGCTAACGAAGTGTAGGCAGTAAGTTTCTCGTAACCTAGTCCCGAATTACAGAGTTAGTTGATGTTTTTAGCATACCAGTATTCTCGATGATGAATGGAGTTTTACACCCGACGACGAGTTTGCAATACGATTTCTTAATTCGGTTGGATGGGATAAAGTCAAGCCTGGGCAACCAAACGTTATTCCTTCACTATGCACGGGCTGCAGCGATTTACAGTCGACCCTAATGTTCGATAGCGAGTATGATATTTCGTATCTAAAGCTAATGTCAGAAACTTGTAATTTGTGCAACCTTTTCTCCAAGTCATTAGCTAGTACTGGAACAAACCCCCTAGATATCACTACGCTGAGACGGGATGGGGTTACAGTAAGTGTTAAGGATGGCCCAAAGCTCTTGTCAATCTATACAGATCCAGGTATGTTTTACACACCCGACTCTATATTTACACTTATTTACTGAACTAAAATAGACTCGAATCGCCCTAAAGGCGCCCAGTTAGGATTGCCTAAGCTTTTACAACCGGGTAGCTGTGACCAATTTGCTCTACTGCAACAGTGGATCAATGTATGCGATTCTAGCCATGAGATGTGTCGTCGTAACGATGAGTATGTCCCGACCATGCCGACCCGCCTAATCGAAGTTGGCAATCCTATCAGGCTTGTCGATTCAACTAGAGTTGCTCCATCACCATATATCGCTTTAAGCCATTGTTGGGGACTACCCGGGGATAACACAAAATTCTGCACATTTAGGCACAATATCAATCAGTTCAAAGACTCAATCGACTTCAAATGGCTCCCTGCCACATTTAGGGATGCTGTAAGCGTTACTCGCGGACTTGGTCTCGCGTATATCTGGATTGACTCGCTCTGCATTATTCAGGATGATGAATTAGACTGGCAAAATGAGGCGGGTAGGATGGAGCAGGTATTTAGCGGAGCGTACTTCACAATTGCGGCAAGCTCGGCCAAGTCATCCAATGAGGGGTTTCTCTCACCGCGTACACAGCGTCCTTGTGTTCAGCTGTCTATGCAGGGCATGAGACAGCTTTACGTATGCCCGAACATTGACGATTTTCATAAGGATATCGAAGCAGGGGAGCTCAACCGCCGGGGTTGGGTATTGCAAGAGAGAGTTTTATCTCGGCGCTCAATCTACTTCAGTTCTAATCAAGTTTATTGGGAATGCGGTGCTGGGGTGCGTTGCGAGACCTTAGCATGTCTCTATAAGTAAATATGTTTGGACCTTTTCACCGGTTGTATCTTCGCTAATTCTTGTGGTATCCAGTTCCAAGACCGCATTCCTCGGCGACGCTAATTTTCCTAAGTCCGCATTGGAATACTATCGGGATGGAAGGCAAGTACTTATCCAGGACCTGTATGAGAGGTACTCCGGACTAGCATTTACAAGACCCTCAGATAGGGCTGTGGCAATCCTCGGTCTACAGAAACGGCTAGCGGAGGCTTTCAAGTCAAAAGCGATGTTTGGGCTTTTTGCGACCTACTTTGCGAGAGGTTTATTATGGCGGCGTCGTGATAAACGCATGGGGCGCATTGCCTGGCCGAGTGGACGCCACGTTCCAAGCTGGTCTTGGTTCTCAAAGGAGGGGCCTATTAAATATATGAACCTCCAGTTCGAGAAGATTGAATGGGCCACCAAGGAGTTCAAGAGCCCCTTTCAACGTCACCCTACTGCTACCTTTGAGTATCCAATAGAAGCACATAAGGATGAAAACTTTGGCATCATACAGGGTCGGGCTAGAAAAGTGAACCTCACAAAGCTGGAGATGCTCGTACGGATTGTTTTCGATGCTGAGGAGGAATTCGATGTTGAAAATTTACGTTGCGTAGTTATTGGGCGAGATAAAAGAGACAACGGTGTGGATGAGCCAAAACAGCATGTGCTTGTTGTTCATCCACTCAATGAAATAGCTTATGAAAGAGTTGGTGTCGCATCTCTGAGACCAGCGCATTTGGGAGATGGTGGACCTTGGATTGCAATTTACTGACTAGGTTCTTTAAAATAATGAGGGTTACTATATTATTATTTCTAGGGGAAGATTGTTTGATTCATAAAACAATTTTGATTATACAAGAAATTCAATCCTCGTGCGTTTAGGACATATACCCTTTTATCTTTCGAAGGATTTCATGACTGCAAAACTAAACTCGCTCGCGAAACCGGCAAGTTATGAGACATATTATCAAATTCCTTTATTTCTATAAATAAGCTATAGGATAATACAATCCTTTGAAACAGATCTCGAAGTACTAGATATGTTAGTTTAATCTTAGTATCTTGTGATAGCTAGTCCTGGATCGGGACGCTCCGCATCTTAGGTATTGTTCAAAGGTTGAATCTAACTAGTAGGGGTCTGTACACAACCATGTGGCGCAACGCGACCTACTATATGTGCGTAATGTTCAGCGCACATGTATTTAGTTAACGTTTGCACCGGTTAAAATTGAATGGTACTATCGAACCATGAAAATAGATATCAATATTCCGAGCTAGCTACCCATAGTCTACATGTAACCTTAGGTTTTATTCTTAACCAGTAGTAGACATTATCTCCAATAGTACATAAAGTTCGGCGGAGGGACGTGAGATGGTTTAGGCAGGGCTAGATTAATCAAGCTCATTGTTTATAACTATTGAGGCTTATCTTAATTCTTTGACGTCAAGTACACTATGCACATTATTGGCTTATCTTGCCAAGTCAATATGACAAAAGTTAGTAGTAAGAAAGGACTACAGCAAAGGGCTATCTGTATGAAGTATATGAGTACATGATATTACTCTTAATCTATGAAGCTAGATGGAGGAGATGACAAGTGAGCATTCACGTTTTAACTTTATAATAGGTATCATTCGGCTAGGGGTTTGACTGTCGTTAGTCGTACGTACTTAGAGCTTCGTAGAAAGGTAGCCTAAGGAGGTAAGGGAGGATAGAAGTAGCGGGTTAAAATTAGCCTTTGTCCTCGTGGACAAGCGACTGTTCGATATAGGGTGCTATACCGCCCACTCTACCTATAATGTTATAAAGATAAGTTATCATCATGTATATTATCATCTACGTACAACATTAGAATGTGAAAAACTATAGTCTGCATATTACTTCAGAGTATGTGATACGGTAACTTGGAATAGCATTAAATATATGGCTCCTTAGACCTTTTACTAGCTAATAACTGAATAACAGCAGCGAAGTCCTTAAAGCTGGCCACAACAGTAATATTATAAATATTTATGGTTCGGCCTAATAGCTACAATTTCTACATTATAAAAGGGGTGATCTATAAACATTCGTGTCTCAGACCCCTTTATTTTGAGGTTTTGCTAGTACGAAAGATATAATTCTACGATGTAGCTGTGTAAAGGCTCCGTCTAAGCCTACACTCGGTCAAAACTTAATTGTATGTGTATCCCAAGCGGGCCGTTTTAGGGCCGATGCGAGATATTATAGTCCAGCTTGGGTAACTCCAATTTGTAGGTAATGTGCGGCGTGCCTGACTGGTTGAACCCAATGACGTATTCCCTTTAAATCACGAATAAAGCTTAACTCGGACAGTCTTACCACATAAACTAGATCTATAAATAGCATTGTACTAAAGACCACACCTTGTATTACATATGTTAGGTGCATACAGTAGCGTTTGTTAGCGCTTAGCACTCCCCCACTCACACTGTCCTAAAGGGAACTAAAAGGTGACCGACCAAGAGATGAGAAAGAAAGAATCCCCGCTTGCAGCTACATAGATTCCCAGATTGTTAAGTTTTTGGTCTTCATGTTGTCGAGTTAAACGAACCTACCTATTACCTAACTATGTTGGGGGCGATATGCGAATAATAAGCTACATAATCCACCTCGGTATATAGGTAGTCGCCTGCAACATGTAATGTAGCTTTGAGATAATAAACCCAAAGCCTCAACGATATCCCCGGATACGACTATACCCAGCCTATTACAACCTGTAAAGTGGACTAGGACTCGAAAGCAAGAGCGAGATCTGCAGGTGTACATAGTCTGATGTGAGAGGAGACTCCCCGAAACCGCTAATCACATGAATCATATGTTAATAGCCACTGTTGTCTTACAATCTTTCTTATCGAGAGCAAGAGCATATAAAATGACGGCGTTGGGGATGATACCATCTCCTCTACATGCGGCCTTTTCTCGCATCGGACAGATCGACAGAGGGGTAGACATTGTAAATGTATGTACTATCACTTAGCCTGGGAATTTTGTTTAATTGTAGAGGTGTAGGTTATACGAAATTGAGTTTTGAGACTTTAATATGTTTGTAGGAACTCGCATTATTCTGTTTAGTGAGCTTAGTACTGCATGTATAGGTAGGTACCTATACAATATAAGGATTACCTAATGTTGTATCATTGGAGGAAAAGACTTGGAGGTTAGGTTAACGAGTGGAAACTGCCTATTGTAGAAGCAGGAAAGCCCTGTCGCAACCTCGCAACCTTAGGTACTAATGGTACTCTATTTTTTTTTGTTGATTGACTAACCTAGCTGAATGATGAAAGTCCTCATAATTTCATAATTTCTCCTCCCATCCCCGTTCAACATTCATCCTTCGCCCCTGGGCGTTGCCTATCTTAGATCTTTACTGGCGCTTTGTATATTTGTTTATGTCTTTGTGTTGCTAATGAATACTCGGCCCTGTGCCCCTTTCTTTATCGCTCTACTTTGTTGCTACACCTTGTCCTTGACATCAGGGCTTCTGTCGTTTATGTCGGATTGGGTCTTTTTTTCGACGCGCAGTTTTTGATGCCGATCGCGATTCGCACAGCCTATTAGCGGCCGGAGTAGCTCAGTCAACTGCGCCGTCTTAGAAAACGGAGAAGACACGGGCGAGGTCAATCATCTTTTTGAAACCTCACTTGTTTTATTCGTCTACAATCGTAACAGTTTAGATCAATTCATTCGTCTATTCGTCTATCCGTCTATCCATCTACTCAGACGACCGGCCTAGTTGTAGAACAGCAACGCAAAACAAAGTACGAGTACGAAAGTAATACTTAGTGCAAAGCGGGAAAGGAAACATCTTCCAACCTGGACATCTTCAGCACAGCCCCCCGCAAGAAAACGGGAAACCCCTGTAGGTTGATTAGAGGGGTGTATGTGGGAATCAGACGGCACACCTCGAACAGAAAATAAGCCAGATCGTTTTTATCTATCCAAAAAATCCTATCTGTACGAAACGGTTGATCTCGGTTCTATTCCTGTTTGTGCTTTGCCTCGCTTTCTCCTTGTCTGCGCTGCTCCGAGATCTGCGGCTGTGGGAGAGACAAAAGAGAGGTAGATAGAGCGCGACAAACGGCCCAATTCCGTTCGGTTTAGGGAGAGTAAACCCGATACAATAATACCATTATGCCCTCCTTCGGTCGCATTGGAAAGCACAGTAATCGTTCCCAGCATAACCTGGTCGAGCAACAGCAACAGCAGCATCATCATCACCACCACCATCTTCTTCAGCAACAGCAACAACAGCAACAACAGCAACAACAGCAGCAGCAACTTTCGTCTCATCAACACCAGGTGGCGGGCAGTGGGGCTACTGCACCGCCCCATCATCCTCATCAACAGCAAGCTGGTTCTACTTCTATTTCTGCCTCCCAGACTGGATCTAGTCCACTGAACCCCGGAGGCCGTCGAGTATCTGCCGCTGGTGTTCCTGTTACGGTTCCCGTGACCAGTTCGGTGCCTATACCGGTATCTGTTAACGATTCTAATACCACACCTTCTTCAGCCTCGTCAATCGGCCTTAGTTCTAGTGAGTCTTTTCAACAACAGCTACCACCACCACAACAACAACCACAACAACAGGTGGTCGACACGAGGGCCGGTCAATCACATTCACAGCAGCAAACTCCACATACTTCACCGCGTGGACATCAACATACGCACCATAATCAATTAGGTAGCCAGCAACAAAGCCAGTCGGCCCAGCCTCTTGAGGCGTACGGAAACAATCAAAATAATTTATCCACTAGTTCAATACCCCTCAACCAAACCCCCGCTGCTTACACTGCGCGACAACAGCCCCACGATAATTTCGCCGAATTAGTCTCAAGGTCTCAGTCTGCAAGATACTCACAATTAAATCCTTTGCAGACACAACATCCATTTGGCATCGCATCGAGCTCGGTCGACAACTTACCTCAGACCGTCTCTTCTCCCTCGGTATCCTCCAGCCAACCATCTCTACCGCATAGCCAAACCGCCCCCACTGAGCCAAAGCGATTCACACGAAAGCTAATTAAGAATATCCTCTCCGGCTCTTCTTCCTCTAGTCGGCCCAATTCAGACCACTATCAGGACGCTTCCTACGACAACAGCTCTGGTTTAAATCGCCGACCCTCCAAACGGGCAAGCAATACCCCTGTCGTCAGAGGCAACCCTTTGTTGTCGCGACCTATCGACCACCCCGATTGGGTCCCGCCCCAAAGTAGCTCGCGTAGCCACCACTCACCCATCCAACCTGTACGCGACCTTGAGGACCCCTACTGTGTCGCCCGTTCTAACCAAGATATGCTTTCACAGAATCACACAGAGCCATCCCAGAATACTATAAGACAAGTTCCTGCCGATTCCGATCCTGACGCCGACAGCTTACCATATAGCCGCGAAGACCTTTCTTATCAACAGCAAGCTATCGCTCAGCACCAAGCCCAGTTACAAGCGCAGGCCCAAGCTCAAGCGCACGCACAGGCGCAGGCGCAGGCGCAGGCGCAGGCTCACGCGCAAGCTCAGGCCCAAGCGGAGCAGCAACAGCAATTATACGGCGGTCAGATCGTTGTCGACCCAGCGCAGAATCAATACCAATACGCATCTCCTTACGAACAATATCAGTCAGGTCGTCGGCCATCCCTTTTCACTGGGCATCTTAGCACGGCGAGCTCTCAGCCGCCTAATCCCGAAACCGTTTCGCAGGTGTCACATGAGTCGCCCGATTCTGAATCAGACTACCAGCAGCAGCAGCAACAACAACCGCCAGCTAACTCTCAGTCTGTACAGGATTCACCCGCCGTGAGCTACGTACAACAGGAACTGCAGAGCTCACAGAACCAACAACAAGCATCAGTGGGAGCAGG